TTTATCGAAAGTAATACACACCTGGTTTATCAGTAGTAATACACACCTGGTTTATCAAAAGTAATACACACTTGTTTTATCAGTAGTAATACACATTTGGTTTATTGGTAGTAATAATTCTTGTTTATAAGTAGTAATACACACCTGGTTTATCGGTGGTAATACACAACTGGTTTATCAGTAGTAATACACAACTGGTTTATTGGTAGTAATAAATGTTGTTTATCAGTAGTAATACACACCTGTTTTATCTGTAGTAATACACACCTGGTTTATTGGTAGTAATAATTCTTGTTTATAAGTAGTAATACACACCTGTTTTATCTGTAGTAATAGACACCTGGTTTATTGGTAGTAATAAATGTTGTTTATAAGTAGTAATACACACCTGTTTTATCTGTAGTAATACACGTGTGCCTGTCGTCTTTCTGTGTTTTTTGTATTTATTCCTATTCAGACCAGTAAGCAGTTAGCATCAGCTTACCAGGAGGAGGTGAGAGTCAGAGAGGATCTGATGGGGCTCGCCATCGGCTCTCATGGTGCCAACATCCAGCAGGCGAGGAAGGTTCCTGGTGTTACAGCCATCGAACTGGAGGAAGAGAGCTGCACGTTCAGGATCTATGGAGAGGTGAGCCGCTTCTGTCAGCAGCATGTTGTTTAAAACATGTCCTTTATCTCGTCTTGCAGCTTTGAGATAAGCATGCAAAATATTCACCAAAATAGTGGCCTATAACTTTTGGTAATGATACACTGCAAACTAAAAGATGAAAATAATGGAGGTTAGTGGGTTTTAGGCTAAATGCATGAGGAAACCCAGCCCTTTTCCAAGTTCAGTAACTCAGACTTCAGGGTCGAAATATTGAACGTTTACATTGTGTGATTTTGCATGAACAACCTGGCGTTTTAAAATCTTTTGTGGTTTTCCTGAAATTTCAGTTTATTATTTTTCACTGATTTTATCTGACTGTTCTACGTTCAGTTTTCACGTTGATGTGTTCACACTCTAGCTTTTGAAGAATCTAATTTTTCAAAACCTTTGAAACAAATGCTCCCACAACTGTTTTTGGTTCGTTCACAAATTACACATCAAAATGTATGACTGAAAATTGTTGGATTGTATACCTGGATTATTGAGCATGGACTTTCTTTTGATCAAAATGTAGGGTTTCATTTTTATTTTTTCTTAGTTTAGATTTTTAAATTGCTGAGTCAGCGTTCACACGTTTGTTTGTAGCTTCTGCAGGATGTCTTTTGGACTGCTTCACCATAACATCTGTGTATTTTAACCATTCATAAAATAAGTATTCAGCCCCTTCAAGACATTATTACGGTGGCCCTAAGGTGTAAATTAACAGTTGAAAAAACAGAATCACATTAGAAAAAACAGAATTACATTAAACCAAACAGGAAGTTTTTTTTTCTTTTACTTTGTTAACAGCATAAAACCGAATAACATAACAATACATAGTACACACACAACAGAGATATGTGTGTACCGTATATTCTAAAAAAGTTGTCAGGTCCTCTGGATGTTCAAAAAAACAACAACAATAAATTAATAAAATCGTAAAAACGTTTCGTCTTTCATCCAAAAGGCTTCTTCAGGCTGAGGTGCTGTATTCAGCTCAGTCTCTTAAGGGGCCGTTTACACGGCGCATATTTTGAGTGCATTCGCAGATTTTTCTCTGCGGTTCTGCTGATCATTTACACGACACCAGTGGCCCCCCTCTTTGAATCCGGAGGTTTCTGAACCCAACTTCCAGAGTGGAAGTTTTTCGCTGACCCCCCGCTGATAAAGTAACCATCTCCCGCTGAGGCTTTGTGTTAAACCACATGCGCACACGCACGCGCGGACAGACGCTATATTTCTATCAACATGGCGGCGGACACACTGCTTTCTGAACCACGACTGATGGAATATATTTTTAATCTCGTAGTTAATCTACGTCAGATTCCAGGTGCTGTGACCAACATCTGTGCTGGAAGAGACACAATCTGATCCAGTTCTAATGTCACTGTTTATAGAACGAGGCACGCGCACATGTCGCGCTTCACTATAACATCTAAATGTGCTAAATAATAAGTTTAATGATGATGAACAGTATTTATCTTAAGTTTGAGATATATAATGAAGCTATCTGGACATTACGTAATTCAAATTATGTGATTAAAATTATGCTAAACATATTGCATGTTATTAAAGTTAAAAATGACGACATGAGGTTCAATTTTTTTTTTTTTTTTTAATTTATTCAACACCACAAACTGTATGTCAAACAAACACTGATAATTAAACTGAACACACTATTAAAACATGTTAACTGTAAACTGCATTAATGAACTGGACTCGTTTTCATCCTGGATGTCCCACGTTGTTCATCTGGCTCGTTCAGGAAGTCACTCCTTTGATTAATGCAGCTTAAAACATTCAATGGCTTGAATAAAAGAAGGGTGAATTTTAAATAAATAGTTCATCCAACATTTCTCTCTTTGACGTCCTCCTGCACTGCACCTGGGCCGAGCCTCATTCAGAACCGGTCCGCCTGGTGGGAGACAGCTTCTTCTTTCAGGAAAAAATAAAAACTCAGTTTGTTGTTGTGTGATCGAAGTAAACACAAACTAACATTATTAAGAACATTTGATTTCCCTGCAGTAAATCAGCTACCGATTATCACAGAGTAAAGTCCGACATCGTCGACTGTTCTGGTCCCCTCAGTGACCGGTGTGGAGCTGTTAGATGAAGCGGTCCCGCTTGGCGTCAAATCTGTCGACTCTTATCCAAAATCCAGCTTTAACTTAAGTTGTTGTTATCTGAGCTTTGAGCCCAGAGGAAAGGAGCGGGCAGAGGCAGCACGCATGCACATTAGGTGAAGGTACAAAATTCACAGCGCCATCTAATGATCCGGCATGGTAACTACAGCGGATTCAGTGGGGCGGGGGGGATTCCTCCGGATGCATGTAAACACAAAATCCGACCGTGTCGATGTAGATCTTTTCCTCTAATTAACGTACAAAAAAACTTACATTTCCCCCCCATCATGTCCGTGTAAATAGGGCCTAAGTAGCACCTTCTCATAGTGGATCATCCAGACACTGAACCCATCATTGTCTCTGATGTGCGTCTCATCTGTGTATGAACGTGATAAAGCTCTGATTAGTCTCTGTACAGATCTAGTAAAGTGCATGAATGGGTCAGTGAGGCGCAGATTGTGTTGTAAAGAGCTTTGAGTGTCTTGATCAGATAGAAACGAGCTGTATATGTACAGTCCATTCAGCTGCGCTGCCTTCATCTTAGTCAGTGTGTGTGAACTGCGGTAAAGTGAGCCTCCTCTTGGAACCGTGAAGCTGCAGGTCTGACAGACCCGACTCCTTCCCTGAAACAAACCACGGTTCAGAACTCATTTAGCCGTGCTGTGGCTTTTACAGGAACACACAGAGGAAGTGTGACATTAATAAATTAGCATTTTATCATATTGCTAAGTAGGGCTGCAACTAACGATTATTTCAATAGTCGATTAACCGTCCGATTATTTTCCCGATTAATCAGTGAATCGGAGGTTAAAACAAAGTTTTAATTTCCACCCCTTTATTCCAAAATTGAACATTTGACTGACATAGGAATTGGCACAAAGAACAGGTTGCTATTTGACTATTCTGTTAGTAAAATATTGACTAATTAAAAAATAAAAGTCAAATAGCTTAAAAAAAATGTACACAAATATATACAAATGTATCTTTATACATGCACAATATGTAGCTACTTTGTAAGATGTGCCCTTGAGGGAAGAGTGTAACCTGAATTAAAAGTGTGGATCATTGTAGTGAAGCCTTCGTCTTCAACCATGGACAGAGGCCTTGTGTCAGTGATGATCATGTTCAGGATGTTTCAGTGAAGACGGCTGCTGCTGTGGTGTCCATGATGTCTGTCCATCATGAAGCTATCATTGTTTGTTGTTGTTTTCTGGAATGAGAAAGTATATATGCAGTGTTTCCCCTAATTAGCTTGCCATGGCGGGGTGCTCTTCTCATCCATGATTTTTGCTGATGGGGGGGACGGAGACATGTCTGAGCGCAGCTTGTACTAACAGTTTTTGAGCGGGAGCGGGGGGCGTTCAACATGAGGGAAGAGGCAATGTGAGTGCTGCCTTTGGCTTTTTAGGTAGAGAGCCTGTATTTTGTGCCGCTAGCTTAGTGATATGTCAGTGCCAGGTGGGGGTGGGAGAGTTGAGTTCAGTTTGGTTGGCAGGGTGCTCAGTTCTGTTGATGTGTGGGGCACCCCGCCTGTTTAGTGGTAGGGGAAACACTGAGAATGTATTATAACATAATTTACAGCAACTCAAGAAATGCTTTGTTTCATTTACAGTGTTGGGTTAAGGCAAATAAGTAGCCCAAAGAGCAATTAAACATACACACACCCAATACTTAATTACACACATTTGAGTAGATGTAATAAATTACTTTAATTCCTGTTTAAATGCAAATTATCCTGCCATACATGCAGTGTCTTCAGACTTTGCCAGCAAATTAAAAGTTGAAGCTTAATCATTAAATTATTATCTTTGTGCTAGATTTATTTATAAATCACATTTAAACACTTCTTGTACCAATTAAATTGAATAAAAAGTAACACACGTTCTGTATCACCGTCATTAATCAGATAAACAAACAAACAGCAGCTTCAGCTACAGAGAGACTGATGTTACGTTTTCTCACTTGGAAACAGAACAAATGTGAATATTGTAGAGACTCACCTGCAACACATGACGAGTTGTATCTGCTGCCGAGTTCCCTTGACTCCGACATGTTTACGTTTCATCTCCGTGGTTCTCCCTTGTCGTGTCGTCACTTTTCAAAGCTGCATGTTTCAGTTTTTATCTTTGTGAAGCGTCAAGTGCTCCCACACTTTGGAGGACTTGGGTCGAACAGTTTTCTCTGCATCGGTCATTTGTAAAATTTACTTAATTTCCTTTGAAAACAGCCTCTGCTTTGCTTCCTCCTCCGCCCTCGCTCAGTTCAACTCATTCTGCAGAGTTGATGTTTTTTTTTTCAAACTTTATTCAGTCAGTCAGCGTTGACAATGAACTGCAGGTGAACAAAACGGCTCTGCAGCGCCATGAAAGACGCTTAATCGCACGACACAACGAATCGATAATGAAATTCATTGCCAACACTTTTAATCATCGATTTTTATTGATTCGTTGTTGCAGCCCTATTGCTAAGAAACGGTCCCGTCTCAGCTGTGGAACAAGACAGCTAAAGCGTTGGCCATCTTGTTAGCCGCTAAGGACCGTATCTTTAACGATATGATAAACTTCTGATTTATTAATGTCGCACTTCCTCTGTGTGTTCCTCTAAAAGGCACAGCACGGCTAAATGAGTTCTGAACCGTGGTTTGATTCAGGGAAGGAGTCAGGTCTGTCAGACCTGCAGCTTCACATGCTCAGCTGCTTGTTTACTTCTGCTAAGCATCTCCTCTGCTGCCCACCCACCTCCTGGAGAAGCAGGGAGGGGGATGGGGAGCGCGGCTGAGGGCTGTGTGTTTGTGTTCAAGGAGGTAGAAGGAGGGGGGCGCATGGGAGAAAGAAGACAGCAGGAGGATTTCCAAGTATAAAACTATATTGTTCTATATCGAGATAGTCTCAACTTGTATCGCAAAATATATATATATATATTGATATTTTAAAAATATCGATGTATCGCCCAGCTCTAGTTCGAGTCATTGCTGTACTGTCATTGGCATGATTCCTCAAAACTTGTAACATCTGTGTCATTGTGCTGTGTGGAAAAATACTGCACATTTGAGAGTGGCCTTTTATTGTGGTCAGCCTAAGGTACACCTGTGCAATAATCATGCTGTCTTATCAACATCTTGATATGCCACACATGTGAGGTGGATTATCTCTTCAGAGAAGTGCTCACTAATACAGATTTACAAAAATGTGTGAACAGTATTTGAGAGAAAAAGGTCTGTTGTGTACGTAGAAAAAGTTTTAGATCTTTGAGTTCAGCAAAGACAAAAGTGTTTATTTTGTCAGTATAGATTGACTACATGTATATGCTGTACTGTACTCTTGGTAATAATTATTCATTTGACTGTAGATAATTTCTAATTAGCACAGCAGAACACCATCAACAACATATTGAATTTTGACATAGAGAGGTCAATGGTCAAGGTCACAGTTACCTCTTTGTTAAATCCTTGTCTATGCTCCAGCTTGACATCTGAGTGACATAGAAATGTCCAAGTCTTTGTCCCCTACACGGTCTCATCTGTCCATCCATAAGACAGTTGTCCACTCCACAAATGTTTAGGATAGAAGATGTCTTCAGACCATGGCTCCACGTTGGATCTTTGATTTAATTAAGACCACTTCAGTCAAATAAATCTTGAGTTGTTCTGGTGAAGTCCACGTCTCTGATCATAGAATAGTTTGGATGGGCTGGTGGTCATCACACCTGATCGCTGCTGTTTCATGTTCTCACGTGGTCTTTAGTTGAACTGTTTGTTGTTTTACTCAGTGGACAGCTTCATAATAAGTGACCTTTGACACCACAGTCATGTCTAAAATTAATAGGCATGTTCAGGGTTGTTGTGTGAGGGAGTTCATGCTTTGGACTTTGATTACTCTCACACTTTACTGGAAGGATTTTAATGTACTGTCGCTGGCAGTTTGGTTTGAACTTTTATCTGCGGTTTTCCTGATTTTATCTTTAATTTCTATCATTTTAGCTTTTCTGGTCGTTTTACCTTTAATGTTTGTTTTAGCTCCTTCAACAAATTTCAACAGAAAATGCATTTTGTTTGGTTTCAAAGTTATGTTGGAGCTGTAGACCCCTTCAAAGTTTCTTCAGAAATGTTCTAGTTTAATAATGTTCTGCTCTCTGCTGCTCAGACCCCGGAGGCAGTGAAGCAGGCCAGAGAGTTTCTGGAGTTCAAAGAAGACTACTTCCAGGTACCCAGGAACCTTGTGGGTGAGTAAGCAGCAAACTTCTCCACTCAGGCTCGTTTTGACATTTATTATTGGAGCACATCGAGCTGCTTGGATTTGCTCATTAGGATTTTTTTTTTTCCCACACAGGCAAAGTCATCGGTAAAAATGGCAAAGTCATCCAGGAAATGGTCGACAAATCAGGTGTGGTTCGTGTCAGGATTGAAGGAGACAACGACAAAAAGCTTCCCCGGGAGGAGGTAGGCAGGCAGGGGGCTGGCAGGGACGACACTGTCAGCAGCAAAGAGGTGAATGAACCGTTCGGCTCTTCTCCCCGTCCCTCCATTAACACCTGCTCGCTCCTGCTGCTCTCAAATCAAAGTTAGCTCGGCTACAGCGGAGCGTAAACGTGGCATGTGCTCCATTCTGCTGCTTCGTGTGTTTCGTCTCTTCTGCGTCGTTGCATTTAACAAACCACTTCACCATGACTCATGTTGGTTGTTTGTGTTTCTGATCAGGGTGATTCATGTCATGATTTTAGAATCTGTCTGTAAATTATGCATAACTCGTGACCTCTGTGTTTGCTCAGGGGATGGTTCCCTTTGTGTTTGTGGGAACTAAGGAGAACATCAGCAACGCTCAGGCTCTGCTGGAGTACCACGTGTCCTACCTTCAGGTTGGTTTCCACCAGTAGACGGCAGCGCAGGCCTAATCCATCTGCTCTGTCTTTATACGGAGACATTTGCTTCCTTTAATCTGTAACCCTTATTAGGATGTTGAAGCATTTCTTGAAGGCGCGGCTCTTTTTTAGATTAGTGTGTCTTATTGGCCGCCTCCTGCCACGTGCAGGAGGTGGCTGAGAGCGCCTCGTTTTGCCCTTACCTCAAGTGATTTTATAAATAGCCCCTCTCTCTGGGATGGGGTGAAGGGTACACCAGAGTATAGATTACCAACTATCTGGACCCTCAGCTTCCAAAAATAACATGGAACACCCCCACCCCACCCAAAAAAAGCCCTGCCTTGCTTCTTCCTCACCTCCGTTGAAGTTCAGCTGTTATTGGTGGAGTCAGCTGTCACACTGTACAGTAACCACCTCCTTTTAAAAGGAGCCTCAAACTGCTGCCTCCTTTTCCACACTCGTGGTTCATGGAAGACCTCCTTAAAGACAAAGATTTATTCAACATGACGAACATGGCAAAGTGACACTTTGTTCCTGCTCAAAAGGTTTTCATGGGTACGGTTTGATTAACCTGCCAGTTAGATAATCATGAAAGTCAAAACTTGTGCAAGAGTTCAGCTCAGACGCTGTGAGCCTTCAGCTACACTTACACACATAAAATAATATATAAAATGGTGCGTTTTAAGATTCAGCTGTAGCGTAAACATTTTTTAAACTGAACAGAACTGAGATATTAGTTGACAGATGCAGCTGCTGGTGTCACTGGAGAAGCAGCTGTTGGGTTGAGCTCCACTCCCACCTGGTGGCGGAGCAAAGGAACTGAGAGGAAACCAGCTCCAGCTCTGCTGCGGTCTCTGAGCACAGAACAGAAACGTTTGTCGCCTGCAGCTAAAACGTCTGAGCGGAGGATAATGTTTTCACCCGTGTCTTTGTGTGAGAACGTTTTTGTCTGGCCAGATGTTCATGAAGTTTGTGGAACGTAATCGTTTGATGTACCTCTGATCAATGTTTGAATTCAGCCTGATTCAAAATGGCCTCCACGGCTAATCTGCATTAGCCAACACAAGAATGGCTCTCAAAACTCAGTGTTACAAATACTGACTTAAATATGATGTGATAGTAGCCGAGAATCAATCCCAGCTCGTACTTTGAGCTTGATGTTACATCAAATGAGACTGTACGTTATTTTCTTTTCAAAGTTTGACCAAAACGACTTCAACGCTCTCATTTCTCAACATTAGATGATCGTAGTCTGAAACGCTGGCATGAAAGGCCGCAGGCGACTTGCAGGGAGAATGCTAGGACTCGGCTAAAACTGGATAAATTGTTGCCTGTGAAAATTAGCTGGAAGCAGGAAAACGAAAGAAAACAGCAGAAATGTGTTTAAAAAAAAGAAACGAGTAGAATACATCTGAAATGGGCTGAAAGAGGCTAAACATATTATAGAAAAATATGAAATGCGGAAAAAAAGCTGAACTTGGCAAAAAAAAGTAGTCGAAAAATCTTTAAACAAGCTGAAATTATCTGAAAGATGCTGAAAAAAAAAGTCAAAATGATCAGAAATAATCAAAAAGCGGGAAATGGCTGAAAAAATAGATTAAAGGCTAAATTTAGCAGAAAAATATAAATAAAAATCAAAACCAGTAGCTGAAAAAGCATTTAAAAAGCTGAAATTATCTGAAGGATGTTGAATTTTTTTTTTTTTAAAGTCACAATGATCTGAAAGAATCAAAAAGCGGAAAATAGCTATTTAAAAAAAAAGGCAGAAGAAGGTTAAAATTAGCAGAAAAACATCTAAAAAATAAAAACAGGAGCTGGAACAGCAGAAAAATGCTGAAATTAAATTAGCTAAATGGAGCTGAAATGAGCAGACAGAAACTGAGAGGAGCTGAAGGAAGCTAATTAACACAAAGAAGCTGAACAAAGCCGAACAAGAGCTGAAACGAGCAGGAGAAGGTTGTAAACAGCTCGAAGGGTTTGGTGGACGTCGAGAGCTCCATTTAGGTTCATTGAGGAGAACATGGCCGACAAAGCTAAATAATACAAAAAGGTAACGTTGCTGAAAAACTAAAAGTTACAGCAGGAGTGTTCTGAACGAGCTGAACGTTGGGAAGTGTTGAAACAACAGCTGAAACAAAAGTTGCAGAACAAGTTTTGTGCTGACAAACTCGTGGAAGAAAGATGTATGGTAATGATGCGAGTTATAAACACTCGGTGTTATAATTATCTATTTATTCCTTGGGTATGTTCCTTTGAACTGAAACTCCTGCACAACAATTTCCTGCGGGATCAATAAAGTTTTGTCTAATCTTATTTTAAACCATCATTTAGGTTTAAATAAAGTTTTCTTGTTCACACCGAGAACACTTTGCATTGTTTTGTCCAAGATCCCTCGAAACTTCTCCTTTAATGCCGTTTGGTGCTGCAGAGGTGCCGTCCCAGTAACTTCATGGTGTTTAATGTTGAACTTGGTCAGTAGTTACATTTGATGTTCTTTATAAATACACTGTTTACCAATCTGCAGGAGGTGGAGCAGCTGCGCCTCGAACGCCTCCAAATTGATGAGCAGCTCCGTCAGATTGGGGTGGGGTACCGAGCCCCTCCCAGCAGAACTGGGCCGTCCGGTGCCGACCGAGAGAAAGGCTACCTGACTGACGAGAGCAGCAACTCCCTGCACGCGTCTCGTACCTACGGGGGCCGCGGCAGAGGCAGGCGGGCCTCCAACAGCCAGTACTCTGGATACGGTGAGAAGAACGGAGGTCAAACATCTTTTTGATTTGAGTTGTTTGTGCGTTAGCAGAAATTTCAAAACAACTGGATAAAAACGTTTTATAACATCTCACGTTAGCGTTCTTGTTTTTTGACTTGTTGCAGCCACAAACTCCGAGCAGTCCAACGCTTCCGAGTCGGAGGATGTGGGAGAGCGAGACCAGAGGCCCCGAGGCATTGGTGGTGAAGAGAGAGGCTCCCGGCGTGGTGGCAGGGGCCGAGGGGCCACCTCGGGAAGAGGTCGTGGAGGCCCCACATCGAAGCCTTCCAACTCCATCAGCTCAGGTACGTCGTGCTCTGTTAGTCTCTGTTGACAGCTGTTAGGAGCAGCTGCTGCAGTGCAACACTACAGCGTTGAGCATCTTTCCCAAGAACACTTCGACGTGCCTCAGGGACTGGAGGTCTGACCCCTGACCTGCTGATTGAAAACCAACCAGTTGGTGTGGAAATGCTGCTTATAAGCTGATTCAAATGAAAACAAGTGTAAAGAGCTAAACAGCGGTCAAAGTACAGACACACTTTCAACAAGTTGAGATTTTGTGTAAGATGTACATACAAACAGAATGCAAGGATTTCCTAATCGAAACTTGTAAACAGAGAAAACCATATCAGTTGTTGTTGAAACTAAGCATCTGTGCAAGTTTTGGGGAGAAAATAGGTCATTTTGAATTTTATGGAAGCAACTCATCTTAAACACTAGAACAGGGTCGACAAAAAGCTGTGAAAGTAATTGGTACAAATAATCAGCTGGAAGAGAATTTTACAGCTACTGTAATTCTCAGGCTACAGAACACACCTGTGTCTAAGCCTCACATATTAAATATGAGATAAATCATAATTTTGTACATAAATGAGATGCTCCGGTTATTTAGCCGTGGTCATCCACTGTTCATGGTCAGGACCTGTGCCCAGCCAGCTCCGACAGTGTGCAGCTTTCTTGTTGTAGTACAAGAATCAGCCAGCAGGTGGCGTTTCACACAATATATCTTGCTTCAACTCCACTCAGACTGCAAGATCATCAGTCTTCATGAAGCTTCACTGTCTGACTCATGGTTACAACCATTATACCTTCAAAATGAACAATAACTATCTAAACATAATCACTGGACAGAACAGTGACAAACGCATACGTAACTGAAATTATTTAAAATGTATTTACCGGAAAATATTACCCAGAAGTCTTATCGAGGTCATGCGACCGAAAGTCAAATAGTACCGGTGAAATACGGTAAATATTCATTAAATTAGTACAATTAATTTTATTATTAGACAGTTTTGATAACAGCTGCTGTTTTTAAATGTACTTTTTAAATAAATTTGACCTGATTTCGCCTCAGCAAAGAGCTCATATGAGCAGGAGGGGGGAAGGGGGGGACAGCCCCTCCCTCGTGTTGTCTCCTCCATTCAGTGCGAAGCTTAAATGAGATCCTGGTATTTAAACACATATTTACTGTACACAGAAATATATATATTTTAAACTTTTATTAAAACATGTACCAGACTTGACTGCTTTTGCGTCTCCAATGCCCGACCATCAACACGTTGATGCAAAGCTTACATGCAGCTGTGTTTCCTCCTTCGGCCGATCGATCGCTTTTAACATGAAAGCTGCGTCATAATAAATTCTCTGTGTGTTTTCCATTATCGCTGAACAAATGAACAGGTCTGTGCATGAAGTGCAAAATACAGTAACGACACGAGAACGATCTGAATAAATTAATTCACGTCTATCTTGGGAGATGATCCTCGAGAGTACCTCATTGGTCATTCAGGTTAGACTTCTGGTCACATGATGACAGAGTGGGTGGAGTTATGGTAGGGACTTTGAAACTGTGAGCAAGAGTCTTTGTACATCTGATCTCAAGGGATTCTCTCTGTGTCACAAACACCTACCACCATGAGGGACGGGGTGCTGGGAGCCACGAGTGCACAGCTCTGTCCAAGAAAATGTTAGTTAACAGCAGGATGTTACCAAGAGACAGCAGGAAGTCTTTCAAAATAAAATATAAAAATAAAATTTATGAAAATTATGTTAAAAGAATGCATAAATAAGATGCTCCTGCATATAAACAGCAGGTACAAAGTGTGAGACAAAAGTAACGGCTTGTAGAACGGCAATTACGGTAATTAACTGTTAACTTGTCAGTAAGAAGTGAGGCTGAACCTCTCAGAAGTAAAGCTGGGCAGCGGTTCACACATCTGAATCAAACTGAATGTAGAGGAGGAAACGCTGTTTAAAATGGACTGAGGTCAGATGAGTTCAACTATCATATTCTTTTTGGAAACATCCTCTGTGCTAAAGTAAGACCAGCTGACCTGTTATTAGCAAAAACCTGCCTCTCTGATTGTATGGAGGTGCATTGTTGCCTCTGACTGGGTAACTTGCACATCTGGAAAGGCTCCATCAAGTCAGAGAAAGCACATCCAGATTTTAGTACTAAATACAATCCTTCGGCTCTTCTGCTTCAGGGAAGCCCTTGGATATTTTTACAAATTATTACATTGTTCTATTTACATTTTACACAACGTCCCAACGTTTTCTGAAGTGGGGTTTTATCTGCCAGGTGTTGTTTTGATTCGTGAGCTCAGATCTGGATTTATTCAGCATAAACTGTTTTATTTTAAAACTACAATAAAGCGAGTGTGTACGAGATGTTTTTATATTTCTGTGTCATGTCCAGTGCTGAGAGACCCGGACAGTAACCCATACTCTCTGCTGGAGGGAGAGGGAGAGCTGGCTGACACAGACGTCGGTGAGGGCATGGGAGGAGACCGCCGCAGACGATCCCGGCGCCGCCGCAATGACCAGGAGCCCAGCGTGATGGATGCTGCTGTGGAGTCAGACGGACAGGCCGGCCCCAACGAGAATGGGATTGGTGAGAGAGTGCAACAGTCGTAAGAAGTACAACTTGAAGGGGGGATCAGAGAGGTAATCCATGTTCTCTAAATTTGACTGCTAGATGAAGAAGCTCGACCTCAGCGCCGCAACCGAAGCCGTCGTCGCCGTAACCGTGGCGGCCGGGCCGATGGAGGATCAGCCAGCCGTGACCGACAGACAGGGGAGAGTGGTGAGTCCTGATGTTTGAAGAAGAACAGCCTGAGCTCTGAGGACTTGTTCTGACTAACGGAGTTCCATGTTTCTAGTGACAGTTGCTGACTACATATCTCGTCCCGAGTCCCAGAGCAGGCAGAATGTGCCCCAGGAGAACCACACCGAAACCAAGGTGAAGCCAGAAGCACTCGCCCAGAGCTCAGTTTGACTTTTGATTAGATGATGATTCTCACACTGTTCCACCCTCAGGAGAATGGCACCAGTGCGAAGAATGACGAGCGAACGCCCTCGAAGCGTTCCCCCAGCAAAGGCACGACTTCAGCCAGCGAGACCCTGACTCTGGTCAACGGGGTTTCGTAAAGAGATGACGCCCGCCCCCCCCGCAAACCCAAGTCTCGAGCAAGACTCCATGGCAAACTCTGTCCCTGCTTGCATTAACTTACACCTTAAACAGAAGATCGAAACACACCTGACAAAATACCTGAGTTCATCCAACGAGAGTGAAAAAGTACAAAAAAACGACCGACGCATCTACTTAAACCACACGTTAACGGTGTATGCTATCCTATATATCAGTACTTAGTGCTTATTTAAAAACACAACTAGCTTACCCAACGAGAGCTGGTGGATATGACTTGATTTCTAAAAATACTGAAACACAAGAAACAGGACAAGACTTTTTATTTTTCAACGATTGTCTTTATTTGTGTCCTCCTTATGTTTTTACTTTAGTTGTTTATCACTGGTTTGGACTCTGCGGTTGCTCTCTGAACCAAAACAGACGTGTCTCTGTATTCAGGAGAGATGTGAGCTGTAGGCATGTGAGCAGACGGTCCAAAGGCTGATGTGACGCAGCGTTCACACTGAAGACGGACACATGGGAATATTGATAGACATTGTGCCTTGAATTTGACAAAAAAAAAAAAAAAGAAAATCTAATAAACACTTGAGTTTTTCCATTAAGTTTGTTTTTGTTTCCTGAGCGGAAGAAAAGAGGGAGGAAGTAGTTTCCCTTTTTTTTCCAAAGAAGGGAACAGACCAGTGACGGGGTGGCTGACCAACGTGAGGACAGCAAAGTTTGGTGCCAAAACTAAAGTCCAAGCTGCTTGTTCTGAGTCTTGGTAGAGTGGACAGTGCTGAGATGACCTTAAACTAAAACATGAGGGTACCGAACACAAAGCCCTGGACAGTTTGTCTTGAGGGGGGCTGTTTCACCGCCTTCTGCTTTATTTTATTTTTTATTCAGTATTTTGGAGGGTCTGGGCTGCAGCAGAACAAGCCGAGACCAGAGCGCAGCAGACCTGAACCTAGAGAATTGGACTTACAGAGAGCTCCGCTGCTCCTCTTCCTCTTTGTCAGAGGTTGCGGCCATGTTAGCGTCTTCTGAAACCACGGCTACAGCTCCGAACACACGGGGGGGCCACCAGCTTTTCTGTGACGAGTGCTGCTAGTGGGGGAGGGAGGGAGGCCGGTGGGGTTGGGATGGCTTCAAATGAAATGAGAGCTACATGACACACAGGCCCACAATCTACAGGTACACACACACACGTCAGGCACCAGGCGTGCACACACCCAGGCGATTCCACCGTGTGGTGCAGAGTACCGGAGGGGAGATGTGACCAGAGTTAGGTGTCGGTCCTGTACCTGTCCATGTGGGTCGACATGATGGAGTCGGAGACGGACTGGAAACCTCAGTGGCTCTCTGCTCATGTTGTCACCGTTGTCTTGGTTACCGCTCGCAATTTCCTTTTTGTTGCTATTTCCACATCTCTAGAAAGTACGAAATAAAATATTAAAGTGAAAGCAACCTCTTCTTGTGGAAATGAGCTCTGATTTCTTTGTCTCGTTTTGTTTTTTTCTAACCTGCATGGCTTTTAGTTGGTGAGGGGTCTGTCCAGTTCAGGGTGTTACTAATCTGACTCACGAAGCCATCGACTCATTCACCAGAGCTGCTGCTAACCCACACTGAATGTCCAACTAATGTCCAAACTGCCTCGGGACGAGAGCTTTGGACCATTTGTCTTTCTCTCAGTAAGTGCGAGTCCAGCAGCTGTTTAGGCAAAGTGTTCAGTTCCAAGGGCAACATGGTGCATGAGGGACGAGCATCCACATGACCAAAGCTTTTGAGACAGATAAATGGGGGGAGGGGTGGTTGATTTGAGATGACCACCCCCGTGCCGCCCATCCCCAGTGCTGCTGCTGTACATTTCTGTATGTGGCTGAACGAGACCGGGAGTATTTGTACTGTGGTTCAACTGCATGTGTGAGTGTTTGCATTTATACTTCATTGTGTTGAGTACTGTATTCCCCTGTGTCTGTACCCCTCATGCTGTTGAAGGACCGCTCAGTGTGTGTGTGTGTGAGAGTTTGTTTCTGTTATATTTGGGGACTTGAACCAGCTTACACACCTGTCATTTGGGGTCACCTTGGCAACTGGGGACCAAATCCACGGTCCCCAATTAGAAAACCTTAAATTGGCATTGTGTGTGTGTGTGTGTGTGTGTGTGTGTGTGTGTGTGTGTTGGTTGTACAGTCGTCTCCTCACTGTCGGTTTGTGTCTCACTCGTGTTCTGATGGCAATAAAGGACTTTTCATTGTTTCGTAAACATTTGTAAGTGTTTCTTGGATCAAACACCGAACTCATCTGCCTCAAAAACTGAATTTTACGGGATTCGATCATGAAGGTGTTCATCTCAGATCTCGTTCCTCCAAACAGCGTCTCACTTTAATAAGCTTGGAGTAAGAGACGGAGGTGGTTGCTGTGGCTGATCATGCTGAATCATTAAAAGTTAAAGTGTGTCAAGGTGGTCTATACCAGAGGTGCACATAAATAAATGACCTCATCAGCAGAAACATAATTTGTTAGAAGTAAGCATTGTGAACTCGGAACTTTAAAAAATTTGATTTGTTTGCAAATCATGTGTTTTTGTTCTACAGTAGTTGGTGTATGTTCTTTTTGTTTTTATTGGTTCAAAATTAATCCTATATAACTTGTACAAATGTGATCAGAAGCATCAAATCAGTGTTGTTCACAAGATGACAAATTAATATTTTTGTCCAGTGTGTGTTTCATTTGAAATACACTTTGATACAAGTTTAGTTACAACTATGATGTGCTCCACATCCTGTGGGGTACTTCTCTGTGATTTTAAAACCCATTAAAGATGCTTAATATTAACTGGGTTTATAAAACGACCTGCAATGCAATATAATTAAGTGGTCTATTGTTATTTCAATAAAAGTTGGTTTGAAGCTGAAATTACTGGAAAGAATTTTAAATAATAAAATTAAATGGTTTTCTTTCGGCTTTTCCTTCTTCAAAGGTCACCATGAATCATCCTCCATCTCAATCTGTCCTCTGCATCCTCTGTCCTCACTCTAACTGCATCCATGTATCTCCTCTTTGTCTTTTTCCTGGCAGCTGCATTTCTAACATCCTTCTACTAATATACCCACCATCTCTCCTCTGGACATGTCCAAACTACTGTCCCTCCTCTGGACATGTCCAAACAATCTCAGTCTGGTCTCTTAACTTTTCTTCCCAGTTGTTCAACCTGTGCTGTACCTCTGATGATCTCATTCCTAATCTTATATATTGTACATACATACTGGTAAGTGTATTCTTGCATCTCCTAAGGAAAACTAAACATCTCAGTTTCTGCAACTTCCAGTTCTGTCTCCTGTCTTTTTGTCCATGTCCCTGTCTCCAGACCATACAACATAGCTGGTCTCCCACTGACTTGTAAACTTTTCCTTTGCTGACACCCAGTGGTGTAGTCTACATTTTTGTACTCGGTATACTGTGCTTAGTAACCAAAGTACACTGGTTCGTACAATGTAATCGTCAACTTATTTAGATTTTTAAGCATATTGAACATTTTCAAATTTTCTGATGCCTATATTTGAATAAATGAACAACAAAAAGTGTACAACAGTTGGCTTTGTGCATATTATACAATTTTTAAAACGGTATCAAAGCAAAACATGTTCAAGTATTAAGTAGTATAAGTATAGAATTATACAATATTTTGCTGGATAAGAGAATGTAATAAACAAGCGCTGCGTACAGATAGATAGTTACAGACACATTTAACTGACATTTAACCTATCAATGGCACATTCCTAATGATATGTCATGTATCGTTGGGCACTTTTTTCATTCAACCTTTATTTAGACAGGTTAATCCCATTACGCCTTGAGGACTCCTTTACAAGAGAGACCTGAGTACAACAAAGAATCATGACAACAATAGACAATCATAAAAGAGGCATACAGATTTTTTTTTAAACAAATTAAAATAAGATGGCAAAAATAGCAACAAAACAGCTAGATTATAAGGTGAATGTAGAAACTAAAAACAGGAACATGTCTGCATTGGTCCTTGCCAGGAGTCCAACAGATTCTTAAAGCCACTAGAGAGGTCAAGGTCAAGAGCTTCAGATCTTTTTGCAAGATATTCCAGGAAACAGGAGCGGAGTAGGAGAAGGCCCTTTTAATTGGGTATACTGAAATTCTTAAACTTTTCTAGTGGGTATACTCCATATGCTCACGTATCGTGTAGACTACACCTTTGCTGACACCCTTTTATCACAAAACACTCCTGAAACTTTTCTCCATCCACTCCATCCTGCCTGGACTCTCTTTTTCACCCCTTTACCACACTTATCAAAGCACTTTGATAACAGTCTATCTGTTTTAAATTGTGCTCTATAAATAAATATGACTTGACTTGACTCCCCATTTTCCTGGAGAGTGATGAGATTAATGAGCACGAACTTTGGTGTTTTGAACCACTTTGGCACGGATGCCTTTAGAGGAGTTGACAGGGGAGAGGGCGTTCCCCGGAGGCCATCTTTTCACCAGCAAACTTTTTTCCACTCTGGGAGTGAGACGTTCATGGGATTCAGTTTGGTTTGGTGGGCTCCTCTGTTTGAAGAAGTCCTTCGGATGAAGGACAAAATGTCTCCGCAACAAAATAAACCGTCCAGATGACCTAACTGAACATTGTTGGATTTATACCTGGATTAATGAGCATGAACTTTGGTGTTTCCTGGACCCCAAGTACCTGAAGTCCTGTACCTTTGTGACCTCTGCTCCTTGTAGCCTCACTGTTCCACCTCCTCCCTCTCATTCACACACATGTACTCTGTCTTACTACGGCTGACTTTCATTCCTCTTCTTTCTAGTGCATACCTCCACCTCTCCAAGTTCTCTTCCGCCTGTTCCCTGTTCTCACCACAGATCACAATGTCACCTGCAAATATCATAGTCCATCTGCAAACATCATAGTCCATGGGGATTCCCGCATGATCTCATCAGTTCGTCGGTGTAGTGAGTCACGTAGGTACGTGTCACTTGTTGTATGACAAATATATGAAATATATATGCATACAATATTCACGAGTTCTTCATTTTTCTGACTGTGTAATGTCGTGTATTGAATTTAACAGAAATGCGAACGAGAGACGTTATTACCTTTGACCCATCAAATGAATGGAGTCATTTATTTTCAGAATCAAAGTTTAACATCAAACATTTACATTAATTTGGCAAAATATGAAAATTAATAACAGACAGTTTCACAAATATTGAACTTCAAATCACTCGGCGGTGATTTGAGGACTTTGCTTCAGATATTTCTAAAAAATATCTGTACTGATTTATGAGAGAGAGGTGAGTTTAAGAGGAAATTGAGATTTATCTTACAGAGGAATATGTGAGGGAATTTAATCTGTTCGACCAGAAATTGCACGCTCCCATCAGGTATCTCAGCTTGTCCCAGGTACACTTTAGTCGAAGAAGAAACCGTTACCTTGTTGACGATAGATCACCTCAGTAAGAACCTTCAGACTGATATCAGCGTCTCCGTTGAGAACAGCTAAAATCCTTGGAGAGTCGTGCGTGGTTAGCTCAAAACAGAATCATAATCCCAAAACGTCTCTGGATTCTCGGCAACTCTGACTCTTCATTGTCAGCAGCTCTCAGACTCTTTCAGATCTTCTCAGACTCTAACTCCAAAACTCTCCATAACTCTAGTTCTCTGAATTCCCATGAATTCCCTTCAGAACTCCTTGAGAACTAACTGCACTCCATGGAATCTACTGCACTCTTCACCATTCCAACTCTCTCTAGACTGATAGAACCGGGAAGTTGTCACATTTTAAATGAGTTTACTTCCGAGTTTACTTCAGAGCTTTCTGATTCGTGGATGGACCAGAAAGAGGAGTGGTTTTGACGTAAGGTGTTTATCAAAAGTCGAGGTCAGAGAATGAAATTGTTTTCAACTTACAGAAAAGATTATTGCAAAATACCAGACTTTTTGGAGCCTCTATTCTGATTATCTTCTCCAATAGTTAAACATGACATTTCTTCTTCAGTAAACATTTAGTTGACCGAAGCTTCAACTTCCACACACTTACGAGCTTAGCTCATTTCAGACAGAAAATCAAGAAATGCATATTCAGGTGATTTCTTCTTTGAATGAGGAATAAAAATCATTACTTACTGTTTATGTAAAATAAAAATGAGTAGTTCTTTTCAACCTGTAAGCATTGAGTGAAACTAACACAATTTGATTATCAAACATTTGTAAAACAGTAATGATTATAGAGGATTGTCTTTTCTGCTTGATTAATTCAAGAAAGAAAGCCATCAGATGGCTCAGACTTATTCAGATCAATGAAAATAACAGTCTCTGTCCATCTGGTAGATTTGAGGTCATCAGGGTCAGATGAGGGTCAGATCATCAGGCCATCTAGTTCACTACAGTCCCCCCTTTGGAAATCATCACCTGTCCATGGGGATGAATTCCAACCGTGAACTTAGACCTTCAAATGTCCTTGAGCTTGATGTAATCCAGCAAGGAAGACCAAAGTCA